TGCTGTTTGTCCTGCACTGTCTTGTACTGCACTGCTGTTTGTCCTGCACTGTCTTGTCCTGCACTGCTGTTTGTCCTGCACTGTCTTGTCCTGCACTGCTGTTTGTCCTGCACTGTCTTGTACTGCACTGCTGTTTGTCCTAAACCACTATGGGCTCCCAGCAGCTATAAGCAAAAGAGTTTCATTGTGATCCATGGAACACATGTGACAATAAAACTTGAAAACTGATGAAACCTTTTTGCTAAGACAAAAGCATTAAAGGTCATTTCACCTGTGGTGGTGACCCCTGAGAAGACCCAGCACTGTCCGTACTTGACGGGCGTTCCGTTCTCAGAGTGGTACTTCCTCAGGATGTCCACGCTGCCGCTCCACGCTGAAGGGGAAGTCCCGCCCACGTAGTTCCCCGACCAATTTCCCTCAAGGACCCCACGGTCATCAAGGGAATTGATCTGAGACATAGGGAGAGAGTGAAAGAAAACGCAGAGTTAGATGGATCACATTGCTCTCTACCTTAATGGTGGAAAAAGGTACAGCAGTGGATGGACATCTCAGGTAATGGACGATTGGAGACACCTGACTGACATTAGCGACTGTGACCTCCGCAAATAAAGAAGAGACAGGAGGCTCACCATGGCTGATATGACCCTCACTACATTGACAGGGTCTCCGCGGCCGGCTGACGGCGTTTCACTCTTGTCCAGAAGGAAGAGACACGCCTGTAGAATTCCTTCACTGAACTGGAAGGAAAGGGTAAGTGGATCACGATTCCATCTTTCATTTTCTCTCAATCTTTGCCCCCCTGCCAGCCCTGTTCCCCCTCTTCCTGTACCTGCCCGAAGTTCCATGTCCGCGCCCCAATCTGATTCTCCGTGCCATAATAGATCCTTCCTGTGTCCCTCAGGACGTATTCTGTCCTCTCACTGTCATCGTCCATGTACACAGTGTCGTCTAAGAAAGAAGAAAAGAACAATCAGAGACGTCTCATCTGACGCACGGACACGTTCAGCCATGCGGCCACAACAAAGCGGGCGTGTCCCCGAAAACTCAATACAACCCCTGTCCAATTATAAACTCATGCTTCAAAAATACACCTTTAATGAAAAGTTATACAAGCAATTTTTGAACCCTCACAGTACCTGGGAAAAACATGGGAGGTCTTTCTCATAACCCTGCATGTTAATGTGAACATTTTTTTTAATTCAGTGGAACATCTTATAAAAACAACTAATTCAGGGGAAAATAGTTTATATCTATAGATCCCGGAGGGCGACGTGAACATGCAGGGTCTGAGGTACATGTGACGTGTCAGGAGCCAAACGCTTCTGCAGGACCTGGGTTATGTCTTACCTCAGCTGACAGAACCTCAAGCATTTTATCTGTGAGGTCCAGTGGGTTTATTCTGTAGCATGACTAGGAAACACTACGCATAAGATTCATAAAAGTGTAAGAAGGGGTTAGAGGGCACTTAAGGTCACTGTGGGTCTCTGGTAATTTCAGGGAAGACATTTCTATTGCGTGACATCATCTGTCCTGACCCTGGGCTGGGCGTGGCTTTGGCTGACACCCAGAATCCCCCTGAACTGGGAAGGCGTTTCCCATAAGCCCACCATCTGTTTTCTTTCTCTCTAACACATGGATGTGATTATCGAAGAAATGCCGTGAAAGGGTGTGTGTGTCTCTGTCTGTGGGTTAGGTATATAAATCCTGTTATTTTTACATTGTGGGGACCATTTTTTCAGTTCACCCAAGAAGAAACTCTATTTTAACAAAATCTTTGACTGAAATTAAAAAAATTCAAGTCTCGTATTTTGTTTGGTTACTTATGGTTAAGGTTAGGGCTGGGTAGGGGTTAAGGTCGTCATGTTGGGATTATGGTTTTTCCCATAGAAATGAATGGAAAGTCCCACAAAGATATGAGTACAGGTCTGTGTGTGTGCGGGGGGGTCGGGGGGGTGGTGTGTGGGGAAAGGGAGGGTTGACTGAAGAAGATTAAAAGGTATATGGACTGGCACTGACCCTAACTCAGTCACGGGTTCGTTTACTGCTCACTCATTTGCTCACTAGTGTGCTGCCATATTAGCATGCGATTCTTTTTAAATGCCATCCTATGGAAAGGTGTTTTACTGGAGCGAGTCATGCTATGTGCCACGTTTAAAGGATGCAGAGGAGATGCGGAGAACGGGACATAAACTTCGACGCCGTAATGATCAAATGTGTCGAGCGTTTCTATGAGTGCGGAGATAAAGATGACATCATTGGTGGGCGGGGCAGTGGCAGGGTGCTGAGATAAAGATGACATCATTGGTGGGCGGGGCAGTGGCAGGGTGCTGAGACAAACGGCAGTGCTGCCTGCGTGACTCTGACTCGTACCTTGACACCAGGGGTTGAACAGCATGTAGATGTCACTGCCCGGCTCGTGCGTGGACGTGCCCTGTGGGCACTGCGTGGCCACCGTGAGCTGGTAGCGGCCGATTGCGGCTTTGGCCGACGAGTTGACGGACAGCAGGACCCTGGAGCTGCTCTGCTCCACGATTTTCGCCTCCCATCGGCCACCGTCCAGGTCCTCCACCAATGGGACGATGACGTGCGTGCCCTTCGCCACTACCGGGTTGCGTCCTGGCACACGCACACACACACAAACGCAAAAACGTGTTCCTGCCGTTCTTTTCCATCCCTGGCAACAATTTCATCCACATTTAAAAAGGGCAGAGTCACAGCAGGAGCTACAAAACGTTGCAGCAACAGGTTATTTATTAGTCTGTATCCTTAATTAAACTACCCTGCGTACCAGTCACAGATTTAACTGAGGCGCCATGTGACCCTCCCGCCCCCCCCCCCCCCCCCCCCCCCCCAGACATACACCAGCCGACAAATAGCCCATCAGATTGACTGCCCCCTGCTGGAGGCTTGGCCAGACCGCGCCCCGCACCTCCGCCGCACCCGGGTAGCATGTGACAGGCGGACCAATCAGCTGAGCATACAGAGAAACACACTCACTGTGTATAAATAAAGTCTGATGCGCACCATGTGCCAGCGGCCCGTGGGCCCCCCCACATTCCAGGCTCTGTGTTTCTGACACGCACACAGTGAAAAAGCAGCCGTTTCTAAACACACTGTGTGCACACAGAGCTTCACTCCATGAGCCACCAGAAAACAGCGTATTTGCCATTTGTACAAGTACAACGGAATTTTTTTTTCTCTTCTTGATATCCCAGCTAGTGTCAACAGTCCATCAAGCACCTCAGAAGATTGTTTGGGGATTAAGGGCTTTGCTCAACGGCCCAGTGTGGATGTGACTACTCTCCCTAGTCAGGGACTTGAACTAGTGACCTTCTGATCACTGGCACAGAGGCCCAGCCCACTGAGTCACACGCCAGCCCTGCACCGGGATACTGCTGCCCAGTTAAGACCTTCATCTCCACAAGCTCCGGCTGTGTGGGAGTGACAGTCCCAGGCAGGGGGGGGCGGGGGCGTAGCCTCGAATCCCCATTCTGATAAACGGGTCGTTCTAACCAGAATGTAGCCCGTGGACTCGCCTTGAATCGACTGTGCTGACACAGCACCTAAGCTTCTTATTGTCCGTCAAAGTGTGATTGGCGAGTGACACAGCAAACCCATGATGACAACATGGGGAGGTGAGAGTGCGGCCACGCTAGGATGTGGAAACGGGGGGGGGGGGGATTTCTGTCAAAGGGTGAGGAGGATGGGGTTCCATGGTCACCTGAGCAGGGGCACGGAGCTTCTGGCCTGCAGGAACCCGGGCCAGTTAGCAAAACAGGCCGAGACCACCACACTGTAACATCACTGGGAGGAAACGTCACTCAAGGCGGCGCCCTCCGAAAGTGAAAGGGGTGTGGATGTGCAAAAAAAAGCAAGAGGTGTTGGAGGACGTATTAAACTCATTCCTGCATAGAACCATCAACACACGAACATACAGACTCCGTAGAAGCTGTAAAGGCTTCTATCCTCGGGCGGAAAAGCTACTAAACAGCTCATCAGGTTATGGTTACGGACAATTTGCACATTTCTATTGTTTTTTTTTTCTTTTACTATTTATTTGCTTTTTTTGACTTGTTACTTCACTATAGGGAGCTCTTGCCGAGACTCATTTTATCGCCTGTATCTACTGCAGTGTGCTGTACGGTCGTGCATTTGATATATAAACTTTGGTTTGACTGATTTGAGCACGGGGGGGTACAGCCACATGCAGACACACACACGTTACTCCTGCGAGGTCCCCCCCCCATCCCTGTTCATTTTGACTTTCATTCTGAAACACAACCAAAGATACTTAAATGATTCCATATTTTAATCAGCCGACACAAATGTTAGACTCTTTTGGTTTTGGATGAAGTCTGTAAAAAAATTTGTTTTTCAGACGATGAGGAAGTAAATTCTGCCCACCGACACCTACATTTCACACATAAAGAGACACGTTTGACCGACAGTCACTCACCAGTCGTCAGCTCCAGACGGAGTTTGTCAGTGTTGGGGTTGAACGGGCGAGAAAGTTCGAGGGCGATCTGAAAGGTCTGGCCCCGCCGCACTATGAGGTCATCATTGTGGTAAAGGTCGGTGTGATGATCGCGCCGGTTCTGATCCGTTTTGGACTGCAGGAGGTCCACTGAGCGCACTATCAGTGCGAGCTCTTTAGGGCACAGGAGAAACAGATGATAAACACAATTTTATAATTTTATGATAAATGGATGAAGATTATCTTTAGTGAAACTGGCAACAATTGTACCAGGAGAATATAGTAATTATGCAAATGAGCTAGCTTTTAGCCAATGATATTAGTCTGATTCTACGATGGTAGCCAATCACAGCAGGGAAAAAGCTAACCAATCACCCTCTAGCTCGCTGGCCTCGGTGTGAGGCTTGTAGGGCTTGTCAACTTCCTTCACGGGCTCTGGGGGCAGTTCGTCGGTCAGGTCCAGGGAGCCGCTCTGGTTGCGGTAGCAGCAGGGAGACACCCATTGGAGCCAGCGGCGGCACCCCCCACTCTGGGGCCGCTCTTTGCTCGGGGATACTCTGCTCGTGGGACCCTGCCCGTTACCCACGGCGACGGAGTGAAAGCGGCCCACCATGGAGCTGTCTCTGCTGGGCATCGTTTCCGCCGACATCCTGAGAACATCATTCATGCACAACACCTGTATTAATCCCTAATGCTTAAGTAACACACTGCATGCACGGGGTTACCCAGACTGAAGTCCAGGGGCCTACACTAAATAGAGGCTTCAGAAACGTTTACCACTGCCACCCTAGGGGCGCATGTGCCTCTATATATATACATCACAGCCAACACTAAAGCCAGGCGACAGAATACGTTCTACTAGAGGTATGAGTTTAATCATACGTATGTGGTTCATTCCCCTGCTGAAAGACCCAGATTGATCAGTTTACGCTGGTTGACCAATTTACCATAGTTGTCCAGCTTAAGGTACGTTTTCACACGACGGTTTCATGGTTTAGCTGATCATACCAACATAAGCTGGTTTTTACCTGCTATTTTCAGCAGGGTCACGGAGAATGACTGTGTAATTCCCTACACACACAGCGCTTATCAACGAAAACTGAGAAACGACCAAACCCCACATCAGCCTGGCCCACCGGCTGACCCCTGTCACCCCACCCCCTGCTACACCTCTCACTTCCTCCTCTGCAGGTCCCCTGCTTCCTCTTTATTCTTCAGCCTCCTGGACCCCCCACCCCCCCCGGTATTGACGTTTCCGTGCTGGATGGGATCCAGCCTCCCTATCTCGTGTTTTTCTTTAGCCCATTCCCACCGTTGCGCCATTCCTGCCTCTTGATTTATAGCAATTGCCCCCCCCCTGATATTGTTGGCCCCATTGCGAGCTCACGCCACCTCGGTCACAGGCGGGGCCGCGTTCCACACAATCCTCAGCTGTGCTGCGAGTTTTCAAGTGCTCCTCGTGACGGTCTTATAACTGGCCGTACCAGTGAAAAGCACTGGATTGCCACATAGTCATGGGGGCCGTGATGAAAGGAGAGGTTACAGCAGGGGTCACTGACATTTTTGAAACTGAGAGCTGCAGGGGTCACTGACATTTTTGAAACTGAGAGCTGCTTCACTGGTACTGAGCCATACGAAGGGCTACCGGTTTGAAACGGCCTCCTAAACTTACCTAAACTTCATATATAATAAACATGTTTTAAATGCTCTTTTTAGATATTGTCATTTTCAAATCTATATGAATGCACATGTGATTAAAGAAGAATAGCAACAGGATAAAATTTAAATTAGACGCTGCTCACTGGTGAGCTGTGCTATTTTTAGCACAGTTCCGCGGGCGACTCATGAGTTCCTTGGGGGCATCCTTGTTGGCATGTTGGTGACCCCTGGGTTAGAGAACGACCTTGTAGGATGGGGATGCAGAAGGCCGGAGCTGCTACGATTCATCCCCGTTGTGAGGTGTCGCGGGGAACAGGAACCCAGCCTCGTGGATAAACTTGCCGGTTAGAGTCTATGTGCAAATTCAGCTCTTATTACTGACGTCCAGCTGGCACTGGTTTCGGATAATGTTGGCAGGGCAGAGAAGAGCCAGCTGGGAGGATGAAGGAGCAACTTGCTTGTACAGGCAGGATGTTTTGCATCCTTTCTGAATTGGCCAATGAGTATATCGAAGTTAAATTTCACAATTAGTCGATGTCCTTCAGTGCGTTGATTTGATTGCGTTAAAGAGGAATGTGCAACTGTAATTTTAGTGCTATTGCGTATCTGGAACACATCCCATGGTCACCCCTGCCCCGCAAACGATCTTGCTGCCCATGACTCAGTGTGCACACCCCCTGACAATGCCCCTACAGTGTTCCTGAAAGCAACACTGGCATTTTTATTTTTGGTACACTGGAAGTATTGCACCACGCTATTCTGACACGATTGTCATAGTACCGCTAACGGGAAGTGGGGGCCCCAAATGGTACGAAGGGGTGATGTGTCAACTGCTGACACATGCCTGAAAAATCCCTTCCCATAACTTCGCTGGATATTAACCAGACAAGAGGGCAGAACTGAGGTTAGACCACAAAGAAAGTAGGCCCATGGTTCTGACTGGGTTCCGCGGAAAAGCTCCAGACCGTAAAGCCACTAGAACTGTAGGACACACACATAATAAGAGGCCTTTATAGAACATTCAAGCACGAAATGCGTATCTCCATTGAACAAGCCCAAAGCAGTCAGTGTTGTGATTGTGTCGCCATAGTAACCTGTCCATTTTGGCCACAAGTCAGACATGCCTTGCTCTACAACGTCTACAGTTTTTCCAGATCCCTAAATAAACGGGCACCTTGCGGAATACGTATGTTTACTTAACCCATCTTCCAGCTACTGAAAAGTGAATATATACTATGAAGAAGCAGAACATGAACGAGAATATTTACAAATGTAAAATTATTTCCTTGCATACACTTTTCCACACACCTCTGTACATCCTGCCGAAGGCCATTCATACAGCTCAGCTGAGCTTGACTGAATTCAATCTGGCAAAGTATCTTCGGGGGAGACAGTAGAGCATTTCCTAAACTTTATTAGAAGGACTGGTCGAAGTCCAGCTCCCCCTACACTATTAATACAGCTTTGCCTTATAAAATAAACTAAGACAGATAATAGGTAATTTTTTAAGAGGTTTCTTCATGTACAACAAGCCTTCAGCTAATGTTACTGCCAGAGCAGCTGAACTTCGTTAGAAACAGCCACATCAAGTCTAACAAGCGCTTATTCAGAGCATGGCCTCAGAGGAGCGAGAGAGATGTTATTTATGTTTGCCTCTCTCTAAACAGGGCGCTTGCATTTAGCTCAGCTTCTCAAAATAGCCGAAACAAATCCTGACGGCTGACACTTCGCTGGAGAGCAGCGAGGGGCTCCAGCTATGAGGAACACTTGACCCTGAAGATCGCAAATCTGATTGGTCTATGAGGCAATTATCAGAGCCACAAACCACCGGCCTGAGGACACAAGTGGTAGGTTTCAGCACCCTAATGAATGCAGCCATCAAAACTCTGCACAACAATTCCTTGGTTGCTTAGTTCAGTTATTATTTCCAGGAAATGTTTATCGAAAGTGATTCAAATGTAAATAAAACAGCAAATGCTGGAAATGCTGTTTCCCACAAGGTTATGATCTAAGGTGCCAGATGTTGGCAAGCAGATGTGTGTGAAAAACCTTAGAGCAGCAGTACTCAATGATCTCGGAATTTGTCGATCGGGTGGTGAGGGGGGTGGGAGTGTGGGTGGGGGGTGTTAAAACCACACGCTGCGTGACCCACTGACAATGGCCCAGCGACCAACATGCTTCAGTGCTAAACATTATGGCCAGTGGATGGCTTTGGGGCAAACCAAAGCATGACAATTCTAACTAGAAAGTTGCACTCCATATGCCAGATGTGACTGTGCAGTTAGTGTTCTGCTCATAAAATATTTCAACCAAGAAACAACAAATGAACAACAGCCAACTGAGGCTTAAAGTCCCACCGACAGCCAACTGAGGCCTACAGTCCCACCGGCAGCCAACTGAGGCCTACAGTCCCAACGATAGCCAACCGAGGCTTAAAGTCCCACCGACAGCCAACTGAGGCCTACAGTCCCACCGACAGCCAACCGAGGCCTACAGTCCCACCAACAGCCAACTGAGGCCTACAGTCCCACCGACAGCCAACCGAGGCCTAAAGTCCCACCGACAGCCAACCGAGGCCTACAGTCCCACCGGCAGCCAACTGAGGCCTACAGTCCCAACGATAGCCAACTGAGGCTTAAAGTCCCACCGACAGCCAACTGAGGCCTACAGTCCCACCGACAGCCAACTGAGGCCTACAGTCCCACCGACAGCCAACTGAGGCCTACAGCCCCACCGACAGCCAACTGAGGCCTACAGTCCCACCGGCAGCCAACTGAGGCCTACAGTCCCACCACAGCCTATAGAAGCCTACAGTCCCACCAACAGAAATGGGCAACATGGCTGATTTATTCAAAGATGACATGAATATAATTATGAGAGATGGTGGTTAAATTGTAAATGTGAACAAATTTGAGTAAAACACCAACTCAGTCCCAAAAATAACTATTGGACAGCTACTGAGGGAAGATTAGTGAATACACACACACATACACAGGTTTGTAATTATATCTTTGTGGGTACTCTCCATTCATTTCTAAGGGGAAGACTCCAACCCCAACATAACAACCTTACCCCCTACCCAGCCCTAACCTTAACCATAAGTAAACAAACAAAATACGAGACTTTTGGCATTTTTAGTTTTTTGACTGCACTGACACAATGTCAAAATGACAGGTTTTTTTTTATCACATTGTGGGGGACAATGTAATATAAACCTAACCCACACACACACAAATATATTCACTACCATTCAAAAGTCTGGGGACACTTTCAAGTTTTATGTCCATTAAAATAACATTGGATTGATCAGAAATACTGCGTAGAGATTGTTTTTAATGGAATAACAACAAAGGTCTACAGAGACATCAGCAACAATTATTCCTGTGTTCCAGTGGAATGTTGTGTTTGCTAATGCAAGTTTATCATTTTAAAAGGTTAATTGATCATTAGAAAACACTTTTGCGATTATGTTAGCACAGAAAATTGCTGTGCTTGTTAAATAAGTTATAAGGCCTTTTTCCAACATTCTTTGTCTTCTTTGGACTAGTTCAATATCTGGAGCATCAGCAATTATGGGTTCGATTAAAGCTCAAAATGGTCAGAAACAAAGAACTTTCTTCTCAAACTCGTTAGTCTATTCTTGTTCTGAGAAATGAAGGTTACTTCATGCAAGAAATTGGCAGCAAACTGAAGATCGTGTACAATGCTGTGTACTACTCCCTTCACAGAGCGGCTCAAACTGGCTCATACCACAACAGAAACAGGAGAGGGGGCCCCGGTGCACAAATGAGCGAGAGGAGAAATATATTACAATGTAGTTTGAGAAACAGGCTAATCTCCAAGCTACCATTTATCTCCAGGATACTGGAAAAAGTTGTGTTCCCCCAGATCACCTCTTATTGAGACAAGTCTAAAATCTTTGATAAATTCCAGTCTGGCTTTAGAGCTCTGAATAGTACAGAATCTGCCCTGATGAAGGTACTGAACGACATTTTTCTCACTATCAATACTGGTTCTTGTGCAGTTTTTGTGTTGCTTGATTTTACCGCAGCTTTTGACACAATTGACCACGACGCTCTATAAAAAAGCTTAGAGGTAGAAGTTGGTTTGCAGGGTCCAGTGTTAAAATGGTTTATCTCCTACCTGAGAGGAAGAAGCTTCTCACTCAGAATAGGTAACTGCTTCTCATCCTCCACCCCCCATTAAATGTGGCGTTCCCCAAGGTTCAGTCTTAGGGCCTCTTTTTTTACAAAATACAATATTTTGTACCATTGCTGTGCAGACGACACAGTTCTACAGTACCTACCAGTTACAGCTGATAGCACCTGCTCTCTGAGGAACCTGCTCAACTGCTTGGATGATATTAAATACTGGATGGTGAGGAACTTCCTTCAACTAAATGAAAACAAAACCGAAGTAATTACATTTGGCCCCCAAACTCTGTCACTAGCCTTAGCAATGCACTTGGTCCCTTGTCCGTATAATGAAGTTAAAATCCTTGGTGTATTTTTGGACACGTCATTGAATTTTAACAAACAAGTCAGCAGTGTTGCATGGGGCAGTTTTTATCATCTCAGAACTATAGCCAAGTTAAAGCCGATTTTATCATAAGGACCTGGGTATAGTTATCCATGCTTTTATCACCTCTTGGCCTGACTGCTGTAATTCCCTGTATCTGGGATTGTCCAGTTCCACACTTTCTAGACTTCAAATGATTCATAATGCAGCTGCTAGACTCTTAAATGGAACAAAGAAAAAACAACATATCACTCCTTTTCCAGCTCATTTGCACTGACTACCTGTGAAATACAGAGCAGATTTTAAAATTTTGCCTTTTGTTTTTAAAGCACTCAATGGATTGTTTAACCTTCCTATTTCTTGTATGCACGTTTTCATATTATTCTATTTTTATATTTCATATTTCATCGTTACTCATATATTTTTATATATATATATAGAAATGAGGAAATATTTTTATGTATGGCTGTGTCTTCTTCTGCTGGTCATGTGTGATGGTGAGTGTGTGTGTTTTTGGCGATTATTAATCTCCCTCCTAGATGTGTCTCAGACCGGAGCGTAAAAAACAAGATGCAACAAGTTTCTCTCTCTCTCTCTCTGTTCATTACGTGAAGAGAAAACTTATCCTTCGGCTGGCTCTCTCTCTCTTTCTCTCCCTAGTTGTTATTGCCCATTTGTGTTGGCAGTCATTCCTGAAGTCGCACTGCGGAGAGCATGCGGGGAGCTGACATAAAGAGAGAGGACGGGGAGAGTGCAGGGAAAGACAACTGATGTGATCTTCTTTGTGGAGTACTGGAAAACCTCAGGCCTGAAGACCCAGGAAGAACACAGAGCATTCTGACCACCCATGTGGTCACCATGCAGCAGTTAACATCAAACCTAATACTACTTCTTCTACTACTACTAATAATAGTCAATATTGGCCTTTGAGTCCACATATTGGCTTGTGTGTCATTTCATATGTCTTGGCTACTAGAAAAACCAGCTACAACCTCATGGCTTGAAAGTTAAAACTGCTGCCGCTTGCTCTGTCTGAGTGGCGCTTGTTTGTCTCCCTCTGTCTCGGAGTCCTCCCACAACCCAAAGACGTGCAATTCGCGTAGATCGGCTGCCGCAAATGGTCCGCGGAGCACGATGGCGTCAGTGAAGATTAAAGTTTGAGTCGCCTGTGAGGGACGGCCGTGTCACACAGGCCGTGTCCTTCACGTTCTCCCTGATAGGCTCAGAACATGGGTGTGGATTCCTGAGCTTCTAGATCTTTGAAAAACAGCTACTGGGTGGCCTACAGTTTAAATCTGCATTGCAGACAGGACTGGATGCCTCAGTCCATCCGTGCTTATGATTAACATAGACAATAAGAAAATGGTCTAGGATGTCCACAGGGCAGATGTAAGGGTAGACATATATCACAGCACTTAGTTTATTAATTAGACTGCCGTATTCCATATGATATGTTTGTTTTTAAGTTCAGGAAAAAAAAAAACACACTGAAATTATTCAGAGGAGAAGAGGTGATACCCAAATATCGGTGGGAAATGATTGATGTTGCCAGTGAAATAGTTTATATATTCAGCAAAATAATAGTAAGTTATAGACTTTTTTCCATACTGAAATACATAAAAAGTTCTGAAATAGCCTACATATAAAGTATACATTAAGTCAAAAAGAAAAACTGAACTGAACACTGAATGTGAGGCATTTTAGATCTACCTAATGAGAAAAGATCTACAACAATTCCCAGTGATCTTAGACACAAATGGACAGATTAGATAGATAGATAGATATACTAATATATTCTACTTAAAGTTTTACTACCTGAGATATCCTGACAGACTCCACATTATTTAATACATTATCCTGTGCATTTTTAAATTACTATAAAATTTGCCAAGAATGCATTACAAATTGCCAAAGTTACTCTTGTAACGCCTCCTTGGTCGATACTATAATACCATAACTTTCTATTTATGGAACGTCTCTATTACACCACCCCCCTCCCAATTTTAACTGTCTAAAACTCCTATCGCATGTCTCCGAAGTTCAGCATTATATAGCTCCGTCTTGTTTATGATTATTGCAGGTCCCATCATGGTTAGCGGTAAGAACTGTAGGCACGTGCCAGCAGCCCTTATTATTATTACTTGCTAATGTCACAGACCGTTAATCGGGGGTGTCACTGCCGCTTCAGTATAATCCTCGTGATAGCACTCATTAGAGTCACATATCGCTGTCAAAGAACGACTTCTCATATAAGCCTAATATATTGTGGACACTACTAACATTGAAGGCACGACGTTAAATTGCAATCGTTAAAATGTACTCACTTTTCCTTGCGTCTGAAGTTTTTTGTACGCTGTTAGTTGCGATTTAACAACTGCGCTGTTCTTGCCGCTCGAGTGAAACGTCAAGACCCGATTTCTCTTTTTTGCTCTTCAGATGACTTGCTCTTCCTCCACGACTTGAACTTGCACTGGAATTTAAGAGTTTCACAGATTACAAGTGGAAGAAATACCGACGCGCCCCCCCCCCCGTACCCGCCCCTTTTACTACCCAGCAGTAATATCAGAGCACATGGCCTTGATGCGAGATCATTGCATAAGAGGCAGGATATCACTCGCACAAGGGGCGTCTTCCCCTCTTTGACGCACTACATCTTAATCATATGCCTTCAGTCACCGGGCCCATGTCACCGGAATCCTGAAAATAACATCATTAAGTGTAAATCATTTCATGCGTTTCCCATCTATAGAATCGCTCAGAGAATTAACCCATATATATTAAAATGATTAACAGTAGGCCTACATTCTACTAACGAAGAATGGATAGTTTAGAAAGTTAAACTCGGGTTTAGAGTAATATTATAAAATAAAAGCATAAATTAAGACTTTTAAATCAGCAACAACGTATTTGGGTATTTTGAAGAAAGCAGTGGAGGCAAATGAAAACAAATACACATATAACTGCATAACCAAACGTTAAATAGCTTTTTATGAGAATTTATATAGCGGATCATTGTTTTTTTGTCATGTGGCGCTAGGGCCAGTGACATCAGAAGGGGTTTGACATTTGGGGGGGGGACCGAATTTACTCCGGGGTCGTAGGGGGAGAAGGGGTGCAGCATCACTATAGGCACACGTATAATAGTCACATTGAGAAGAAAGATTTTAATTAAAATAATAAATATTTCATCATTTAAAATAAGACTAACACTGTTAAGGATACTGCTTCACAAGTAAAAATAACTAAAAAAACAAGAAATGATCTGTATGATAAAATGATTTTTAGTGAGTTATTCGTGGTCTGTTAAAAGATATAGAACTTATAAGAACGACGTAGCGTTAAGGAGGCTCCTCTGAACAATACGTCATATCTTCACGCTCTGCATGCGCAGCCAATTTGCCTCCGTAACACGTTAAACAGCAAAAGGCGCAGTTATGAATGGTTATCGCAAAACCCCAACATATCGTAAGAAAACAAAGAGAATGCGTGCAAAATGTGATGTTATTCTAGCAGGCATGTGTGCGAATTAAGTGGAAGAGTCAAAAACGCAGGAAGGTGGGGAGCTCAGGAAAAGCAGGCGTGAAATGAAAACACATGTGCAGCGAGTGACCTTAAACTCATGCTGGCTAATACAGCTCTCAAGTGGGTTACTGTCCACATAAAGTGACCAACATGTCGGCAACAAAATAGGACATACAGTCCACTCTCCACACATCGCGTGTGTATGTGTGTGAGGGTGTTACACCTCTATTTCATTACACCCTGACCACTTTCTTACAATATTTACCTTTGGTCACAGTGAAGTATAGTATTGTAAGAAACATATACAAAACTTTGGGAAGATGCAATATAGCACTTTAGGTTGCTTCAGCCTGTGAGATCAGTCTTTCCATCACTACAAGCACCAGGAAAGTACAATAATTTTACATTCCTTATAGGAGATTTTTAAAAAAACAGGATGGACTGAAGGAAAAAATGAGCCTGAAAGAACAGTCGCTGCAGGCTGTCTACATTAATTCAGTGACAAAAGTTGGGAATCCATATATTCCAGTGCATGTCTGGATAATAACAACTGGCAGTTTCAGCAAAAAATAATTACTGACTCAAGTCTATCTGTTGCTTGCAGTTTTTGGTGAACGCATGAAATCATGTCTACAACAGCTAGTTTCAACATGTCAGAGAATCACTCCTGCATGGGAACACCAACACAGCAAACGGTTTGTCACTCATTAGATTTTAGTCAATGATGTAATTCAATGCTTGAAAGGTGATAACACCCACTTTTTCTACACCAAACTATCTGAATTCTTATGCCGTTCTTATAAAAGTAACAAATGTAATTATTCCTAAAGAGTCTGGGAATTTTGAAAAGACGCATCTTAATTTACCAGTTAGAAACATACTAAATAACTGTGGGGCAGGATAGGGACCAGTACTGTATGGTGAACTTTCCGTTTTTAAAAGGGTGACTCCTTCAGAGGCCAGGGGTTTCCACTGGGACTGTTACATTTACATTTACATTCATTTTACATTTACAGCATTTACAGTAGCAGATGCTCTTTTCCAGAGCGACTTACAGCAGTGCTTTGTATTCCATGATTGTTACCACTAAGTTCGCTTTATAAAAACCTTGTTAGGGAAAAACAGTGCACAGGCAAATATTGTTGGTGGGATTTAAAATTTTTTTTTTCTTAACCAAATGCCCTTTGAACCACAGCTGGCTTCTCCCCAAGCCTGAAACTCTATTCGCAGAGCAGCCTATTAATAGGAAAATCCTATTAGCTTGCATTCATAAACAAATTTAAAGACATAAATACAATAACATGCAATGTTTCCATTTAAAACATTCTTTCGTTTCTAGTTATGTGCTTATTCCACACATTTGGTCAAAAAATGTGCATAAACATAAGCAGGAATTCTGCATGTGTGACTGGTTATGAATGATAACTCAATATAAGGGATTTTTGAATCTTTGCAGCAGTGAGATTCTAACGATTGAGATGGGACATATTTCATATTCTCTAGATGTCAGAATGGTATCATGACAAGAATTCAGACTATAGCTTACTGGTAAATATTAACCTCAGATACAGTGAGTCTAAATCACTTAATTCAGATTTGTAATAAACCTGGATTAGAGTATGATGTGTCATGCCTAGGGGATAACAGAATTTATATGTGATTATAAAGACCCTTTTGTAGGAAAAGGTGTGTCTGTACTACGCAATGGAGTGTAATATCGTCAGGAACACACCTTCGTTTAATGCTATCAAAAGAACTTGGCATGAAGAAATGCCAAAAATTTGTTTTTAATAAAAATGTTTTCCAGAGTCTGCAATGAGTTGGCGTCCCGTCCTGGGATATTTCCTGCTTCGTGCCCATAGCTTCCAGGCCCAGGACCCCCAGCGACTCTGTAAAGGACAGCGGGCACAGAGAGCGGGCACAGAGAGCGGGCACAGAGAGCGGGCACAGAGAGCGGGCACAGACAGCGGGCACAGAGAGCGGGCACAGAGAGCGGGCACAGAGAGCGGGCACAGACAGCGGGCACAGACAGCGGGCACAGAGAGCGGGCACAGACAGCGGGCACAGACAGCGGCCACAGAGAGCGGGCACAGAGAGCGGGCACTTCTGTCGATCACCCTCCCTGCTGCTCACATTCACACAGGATAACATGGACAGGGGCTAAGGTATAGTGAGAGCCTGGGGAGTTATGTAGGGTGGGGGGGCAAAGCTATAAACTGGGCTTGGCAAGAATAACAGAAGATGACGAAAAAAAGAAAAAAGAATGTTTGCAGAATGAAGAAGGGAGGGGGCAGGCAAAGGGAGAGGAAGGGACTTTAGAACACAATTGCTCAATAACTAGATGAGTTAAGTCTGGGAGAACTAGCTGCTATTCTAATGGAAAAAAGCAGAAGGGGGTGGAAGAGGGGGGAAAGGGAGGGGGGGTGATCTTATTGGCATAGCAACAGTTACCAAGAAAACCAAGTTGCTCCACGCAAGACTGCACTCCCAGCTGCACCTTCTGATGAATGATGTCATGATTCATTACTTGCGAACCTGTAACCTGAATCATCAAGTGGGAACCAGAGCGACCGACGTCCTGCACCGCGGTGACGTCCCCAGCAAGAGCGCGGCCACCGGCTCACAGACAGGGAGAAGACCAGCTTCCATCAGCTTACTTTCCCACACTGAAAAAAGTAACCTATAGAATTCACTCAAATAAAATGAGGCGGGTTAATTTGAACTGATCTTTTTTGAGTAAAGCATAACCACTTTTAGGAAATGAAATACTTTAAATAAATTAAGTTAAAGTCTATCTACTTTCACAGTACCGTAGGATTTACTGAAATTGATTAAGGTAAGATTTTTTTAGGGTAAATTCATTCATCTTTTTATGAGCAAAGTAAACTCAAGATTAGCAAATAATATACCCAATGCCAATTAAGAAAAAGTTCCCTGTTTAACATCTGGTGGGTAGCGGTGCCAGGTGGGACGCAGGTGTGTCTGCCAGCATGAGCCTGATGCAGTTGTCATTCTCCCACCCAGCTGGGGGTTAAGGCCCAGGTGACTGCAGTCATGTGACTGCAGTCATGTGACTGTTCTACTGAGGCAGACACAGAGCTTTAGCCCACTGAACCACACGCTGCCCCCGAAAAACCACTTTGTCTAAAGTCAGTGGCGCAGCATTTCGCCGGCATTTTAGGGGTGCACTGAAAAAAAATGAAGACTCAAAAATCTTTGTACGTTTTTTAATTAATTTATTGATTTGTAATTAATATTTATGTATTTATATTCATCCATCCACCTACCTACAATAAAAAAGCATTTTGTTAGATTATTTTGATAATTAATTTTATTAAGACAAGTGATTGCACAACATTATTTTTTCTAAGCACAGATGTAATTAAGTTGGTAGAACTTAAAAATGTAAGCAGTTCAAGCTCAGAAATTTTATGTTACATAAACTAAATTAATTTATATAGAGGTAAGAGGTGCACAATGATTACAGCACATTGCTACACAACGAACCACCTCAGGGATGAGAACCTGAGCCCAGCCAGGTGGTGGGTGATACCTCAGTAGAACACTAGTCCAAATGGACCTGTGTGAGTTTTTGCTCAATGGCTGGAGATCCAATCTTGCCACCAACCCCCAAATTTCCCTGTAAGTCGGAAGACCGGATGTAGATTAACATCATACCAGGACAAAGAAATTGCAGGTTAAGGGCCTTGCTCAAGGGCCCAATGGGGTAGGATCATTGCTGAAATTCACAGGATTCAAACCAGCAACCTTCCGATTGGTGGCACAGATACCCAGCCACAGAGCCACCGCTACACCAGGGCAATTCATTTTCTTGAATTAATTCAACATCCTTGCAGGCCTGAATAGGATAAGCAGTTACAGAAAACAGTCTGATGGTTGTCATGAGTTACTGCATTGGTTGGATAATTCAATGGCACCCATGTCTAATCTACTTAAACATACTATGTATGTTGGGCTATTCACCTGCACATTTTAATTAAATTCAACTTATAACATCGACTATGTTGATGTACGGCCATTTTGATTTTTTAAAGTAAATTTTACAGCATTTTTTTTCAGTGTACATGGAAACAGAGAAGAGTCGAGAAGTTTCTCAAGAAAAGCAGTTTCGTTTTAAAGGCCTTCCACAAGGGTCCAAAAGTGATGATTTCTCTACCCTCCACCAGATCTGAACCCACAACCTTCTGGACACGGGCACAAACCCAAAACCTACTGATGTACACACTAGCCAGGATATAGTGAGGGACATGCGGGGGGCTTATTAAAGTAACCAGACCACTGACCACAAATGGAAAAAATTACTCACGCTTTGAAAAGCTCCTTACTTAGCATGTTGGTGTGATAAAACTCATTGCTCATATATTCCATATCGGCGGCTCTTGCATAAGCCTATACCACAATCCTCTGAAGACAAGGCCCTCGTACACGAGAGACCTGTTCTCCGGTTACTCAGAGTAATTGAGACAACGGCTTTCTGAATCAGCTATTGACTAATACCTGTAGCAGCAAGTGAGAATCTTGGTTTTGATCATTTTTCATATATATTTTGGCATCAAGAACAATCATATATGATTATTATAATTGTAATTATTATTTTTCCTAATTTGGTTGGAGCGTCGGCCTCGGCAGGACAGTCACATGTCCGTGGGCCCTTGAGCGAGGCCCTTAACCCCAGGGGTGCCGCACACTGGCTGACCCTGCACAGTGACCCCCCCAGGCCATAGAGCATAAAATAAAAGCATTTTTTAAATTAATTTCATTATCCACAGGTTAGATGGTGACAGAAAGGTTCTTCCAAAGAAACGATTCTGAAACAATAGCTGACATCATGCAGGTGACCATTTGCTTTTGCGTAAGCTCCTTCGTACCGCATGGTGAACGGCATCATCATGACTGTTGGGTGGAGTCCCCTATAGTTTCCTTCCTTTTCTCCCACCGCAGGCTGTGCCAGTTGCAGAAGACAGGGTGAAGTTGAGGTCACCCCTCTGTGTATCTTTCATAAATGTGTTCATCTGTATGAAATATATCCAAAAATGTAAAATTATTCACTTAAGCCAATTCTTCCCTATAAGATTGTAACTGTAATCAATATAGAGTATCGTATTATTCATATTTTCTCCATTTTTCATTTGGTTACAGTCGAAAAACCTCCAGAAGGAAACTACATGATGGATGTATACACAGAACTCTATAAATATCTGCGGTACATCAGCAATAGCAAAAAAAAACAAAAAACAAAAAACAATAGTAACAGGACAACGTTTTGCATACCAGTGGTTCTCCTACTACAGAAATGCTACTGTAATATAAAGGAGATTACCCGTCGATTTTTTTCAAAAAACAGCTGTCAATACGGTGGAATAAGCTGCTATACTTTTAAATAGGGAACTTTTAGTGTAGTAATCATTGACTAGACATCCGAGTTATAAATATTGATTCTTATTGAATAAACACGGGATAAGTATATTGCTTGTTCATGCTATACATTATTTAAGAGTAAAACTGTAATATATTTTGACAAGGCAGTGTTCCCCAAATAAACTTGTTATTCCCAAATTGAGGAGTTAATATTTTAATATCGTAAAACGCAGAAGTGAGAAACACTACTTTCAATACCGAAAACAACCCTTCGAAATCAGTGTGTGACGATTATGCTATGCGCCGGTCAGTCGTGGATTTCGTCATCGTCATGCGTCTTAAAAGAAGCAACGTGAGTATGGGCTCAATTTGCGCGTGTTTGATTAAACTGTACAATTAGTTCTGTTTGATGGTTGTCATGAGTTACTGCATTATATGATGTACATTGAATTTGAAGTGCATGTAAAACATGTGATGGTGATCGAAATGTATAGTTGCCGATGGACGCTTTACATAATACTTCAGTTTTTAAATAACAAGATTGCCACATTGTCATGTTTATAATAATACAACTAACGTCTGCTAAGCAATACAAAACACGATGCGTTGTATGTTCGACAGTTTTATCCTTCAGACTTTAGTATATCACAATCGTAAATTACTTGTAAGAACGCAAATCTACAAATTATTGTAGTCGGTTCATAGAGACCTAGATATTTTTAAATATAAGGGCTAAATATAAGCGAGTTATAGACAAGCAGATTATAAAAACAAGGAAGCTTGTTTTTGCTATAATGTATGACTGTGTTTCTTAAAATATAGGAATTGATACTAATAAAATATCTTCTTCATTATCTAAGAAACTACTTCTTTAATCCTCAGAACTAAATCCCTATAAATACAGTGAAAAGGAGTTCAGAAGCAGGATGGACATCATGCCAAGAAGCTGACAGGAACGTAAGGAACAACAGAAGGGAAGAAGCCAAGAACACGGCGACCAAACACAGCTGATGGAAACCATGGAAGGGAAAGAGCAGCAGAGACGATTGACGGAGGATGGAAAGAAGAGGAAGCGTCCTAGAGATGGAGGGAAGGGGCGTAAGGGGCAAGAAGGTAGTCAGGGAGGTGTAAAGAAGCATCTGGACGCCTTGAGTGTGGGCTACTTTCGCAGGGTGAGCGAGAGACTGAGCGAAGGATTCGCCGAGGAAGAGGAGAAAGGTAAGGGGGGGGGGGGTATGAAGCTCTGGGCGAGAAACAGCAAACAGTGACGATGCAGAGTTACTCGACTGCAATGGCATGAACTGAAGGAAGAATTGGTCTTTATAGTGAGAAAAGAAGCAGTGACAACAGAAGCATAAGGAACGAAAGGAAAACTGAAAACGAAAGGAAAATGCAGATTGTATTCATTTCCATCTTTACATTTCTAAGAATGAGAAAAGACAAATTCAGGCTTATAGACAGTTTTGTTGCTGCTGTTGGGTTTTAGGTCTTCCATGCACAGTGCGATGACTGTGTTCCTGGATTTCTTTCTCCAGCTTTGTTTGTGGTGAACGTGCTGTCAGAGGTGAAGGGACGAGCCACCCTGGTGGCCCTCGACGTGACGGGAAGCGTGACCCTCCAGCGCCTGCTCCCATTGGCTACTCCCACTCAGATTGGGGAGCTGTTGGCTGAGCTTGGAGGAGCGACTGGGGCGGACTTCAGGGCCGTGTCATGTGACCGGTGCGGGGGTCATGTGATGGAGAGCGCCCTGCGGCAGGTGCCCAGGTGGACGGGTGAGAGACGCATTTAGTAACTGGAGGCAGGATGAGGACGTCCAGGTCACGGGGGTGGCTGAGCAGAAAATGGTCCATGAAGCTCAAATAGATGTGGGCAGTGGTGGCTTAATGGTTAGGGAAGCGCACTTGTAATTGAAAGATTGCAGGTTCGAATCCTGGAAACAGATAATCATGCTGTCAGGAGGAGTGAACGTGTGAAAACGCTGGAATATCACTGCCTGCTGTGATATTCTCATTGTTTTCCACTGTTTTCTCCTCCTAGAGCATTCAGGTTCAGAGGGACAGGAGACGTCTGATACCAAGGATGATGGTGATGTTGAAGCAGGGTGTTCTGGGATACTGGAGGCCCAGGTCCTGTCTTTGTGCCGCTCGGTGACTGAGGAGGTGACGGCGTTCATGAGGCACACGCACGGATCCCACGTGGCACGGACGCTCACGCACGTGCTGGGGGGCTGCCTCGGCCCCGCCCACTCGGACAAGCGCTCAGGTGCCCCGATACTCACTCCCACGCATCCTCAGGCAACCTGACACGTGTGCACGCACACACGCACACGCACACGCATGCCTCAACATGAGAAATGGCCCAATTTCACCGACGGGTGGAGGTGAGCTTCTGCCATTCTTCTAACCCAGTTTTTTTGCTCTAGGGGGTAAAGATCAAAACGTCAACACCCCTCTGATGGATTTCGAGGTCCCGCCATCCTTCGCAGGTGCCCTGAAGCGTCTGTCACTCGCTCTCATGGAGAATGTCAACGGTTAGTGTTCCTGTTTCTGTCATATACCCCCTTCCCGATGCAGGTCCGCCATTTTCAGAGATGTGGTCCTTGTTCTTCAGTAGTCTGTACTTGTTCTGGCAGAATGGTCTTCAGCATGATACACCATTATAAATCTGTGTTGTCCACCATCTTGAGCGGTTTGCGGTCCGTGATCTTTTGCGCATTACGGACTGTGATCTTGCGCAGTTTTGTGGTCTGTGATCTTTGAGTTTGTGGTCCAGAATCTTCAGTAATGTGTGGTCCAGGATGTCCAGCACATTCTTACTGCACATTCTCTAAGTACATTAAGATTTGTTGTTAACTGATATAGACCACAGCTCCCTCCACTGGATTGTATTACCAATCATAGGAATTGTACACCATCTGCCTGAATGGCATTGGTTGTTTGAGTGATGTGGTTATCTTCCTCTCCTTCCCAACCTGTTCTTTTTTCCTCCCTGGGTGGTCCACCCCACACCCTTTTCCCTCCCCCCCTTCCCCTCCCTGTATAGTCTGTGTGTCGGATGCTGGGGCCAGCGCGATGCTCCAGACGATGCTGACTGTGTGTCACAGGAAAAGGCCCAAGCTGTGTAAGAGCCTCCTGAAAGGCATTGTGGGATACTTGACGTCCCTCAACTCAGCTCCTGGACTCAGGTAATATCCGCTAAATTTGTGCTGTGATGTTGATGATTATTCAAAATGTGGCATGATGATGACGATGGTAAACGTGTGTCCACCTAATTGGCCCGTTTCTGGAGGCTGGTCTCTCGTTTAAAATGATTAAGATGGTGGATCGTGAGATGATTTTTATTGGGTCACAGATAATGTGATTGCAAAAAAAAAAAAAAAATTCAAAATATTTTTTTCAATCTCAGACTTTTGTGGTCGCAAATTATGGGCAATGTTCACCCATTCATCCATTTTCTGTAGCCGCTTGTCCTATTCATGGAGGCGGGGGGGGTCTGGAGTCTCTCATATCATTCACTCACACACCAGTGGGCAATTCGGTGACTCCAATTAAGCTCAATAGCCCCACACACAGAGCCTCGAACCCGGGTTCCCGAGGTGTGAGGCCACAGTGCTAACCACAGTAACGCTGTGCCGTCCAGGAAAACGTTTTTTTGTCCTGCTGTCAGCACAGCCCCTGCATTTTTGGTGAAACAAATAAAAAACAAACTAACAAAAGTAAATAAAAACTTAAGGTTCTGACTGCAGATTAAAGTGGGTCCTCAGGCTAAATCAGTTGACAACCACTGATTTACACAACTAGACCGTGATCTAATGGTGACTGATTCGTGCTCCTCTCCATCCCAGTCCGCTCCTGGTGTTCCTGAAAGACCAGGCCTCCAGCCGGCTCCTCGAGACGGTGCTCCTGCTGTCACACAAGGCCGTGCTCCGCAGCCTGTATAAAGATCACCTCCAGGGCCAGCTGGTCAACTTGGCACTGCACCCGATTGCCAACTTTCCAGTGCAGAGACTGATAGCCACTGCTGCCAGTTACAAACTGGTATGCTGCCGTATCCTCAGGAGAGCGGTGACAGTGTGATGGCTGTGTGGTTATTTACTCCATTTTTAAGTCTGAATTTCCCTAAATTTAGCCATTTGAGAGCAGAAATCTAAAATTCAGCCCTGCTCACTTGCAAATCTTGCTTCTTTGCAGTTCCTGAAGGTGTTTGATGAACTCAAGGAGGGCCTGGAGGCCATCTTGGCCGTTGGTCACATGGGTGTAATTGTCCAGTTGGCAGAGAGCTGTGCACAAAGGGAGGAGAGACAAGGGGAGATGATGCGCTGCCTCCTACAGGTGAGGCTGACTCGGTGCACTTTGCGATCCTACTGACCCTGGTCATCACATTATAGCTTTGTCTCAAGATGGGGAGTACATATGGATTTTGGACCGGTCTGCTGTTGCAATCGCAAACACCTTTGCATTTATGTACTACCTTAAAGTATTTTTCTAAAAACTTTCCAGGCACATTCTCTGAGTAACAAACTGGAACTTATCAAATTTTGAGACTGATAACACCAAAACTGAAAAAGTATTTGATGGATCTCATTATCGCGTCACATGGATGAAGGTCTACACCTGGTTTCATTTTGAGAGAAATCACACAAAAATAAAAGCAGTGCTTTGTAGTTTTAGCAAACAGTAGGGCAGCTTCAGACACTCGATGTTGTCAGCATGATCACTCGAACCACGAGCTGGATCTTTTCCAAACTTTGCTGACATTGTATGGGTGAAGCGTTCGGTGGCAGCTGAGCACAGAAAGGGAGGCTGCGGCAGTCATCCTGTTAACACAGTATTCTGTGAAACTTCTTGCTAATTTTCCACGATTGTTGTACAAGTCAGTGGTTCTTGAAGTGTGGGCCACGAGAATTTTCTGAATATTCCAAAGTAAAGTTTATATATTTTTTCGCCACCAGTCTCCCACGCTCAACAGATTTTATCGGTAGTAGTCCAGTACCTCGTTCGCAAAATTTATTGTGGGCTAAATTAAACTAATTTAATTCAATTAAAGTTGGGCTTTTAATAAGGATCTTTTGGATAGGTGGGGGAGTATGTATGATAGGCTTGGGCAGAATTACAGTAATATTTGTGGTATTCTGCAGTATTTTTGTTCAGAAAAATTTATCATGGGTGAACCCCACACACACTTGGGGTGGAATTTCAAATGTAGTCGTGTCACTTAAATTTTAGTGGAGTTTGCTTCACATGAGAACATCAAACAGGACCGCAGAAACTCCCAGAAGGCACGCTAACTCTTGCTGCATTTTTTGCTGCTGTATTTTACCAGGGTTTCCACTGTGCCGAACCCTCATCTCGACAGCTGACCTGCCTCCCGCTATTCCTGTCCCTGCTGACACATGACGTGTATTACTGTGTGCAGACAGCAGAGGGCGCCGCAGACACACAGGTCAGCACTGTAGAGGGTAACAGCTTCTGCCGGTCTTGAATTTAGTGCAGCAGATGTACAGCATTTTCATTTCTATTTAATTTACTTTGCATTTGTTGGGTGTGTATGTAGGAAACCTGCACCTCTGTGAAAATGTAAAAAGCTGCATTTGCTGGGGTTTATTTGAAATGCTGCTTGAAAACTTTTTGGATTTTTCTACTCGGAGAATCTCAAGTATGCAGTTTGGGACATGGGAAAAAAATGTGTTTCCTGATTCAGTGTTATTTGGAAGCTCTGTTAGTCCAATTTGAATCAATTCCCACGTCCTACGTTTGATATTTTGCTGTGTTGACATTTTTGTGAGAGTTTGGAGTTTGTGGCTGAGAGGAGAATTAGAGCCAAACATCAGAGCTGAAACTGGCTTCAGGGCACTGAAGACAACGGTGTTAAGAGATCTGCTGAAGTAACATAAAATCCTTAGTCTGCAGTCTGATATTGACTCTTTTTCTACTCGCCAGCGCCCCCTGTCCAGAATCTGCTATCATGGCTCCCGCCTTGTTCAGGCACTATTAAAGTTCAAGGACCGCAGCCTCCTCCTAAACAGCCTGCGTGCTCTTACACCCTCTGACCTTGTGACCTTGGGAACTGACCAATCCGGTAGCCATGTGCTACAGGCCATTATGACATCAGCGAGCGACAAGGGGAGGGGCAAAATACTGAGGAGGCTGGAGGTGAGAGATGAAGGGGCAGGGCAGGTGGGGGGGGATTAAGAGATGAGTTGATGTCGCATGGAAGCGACTGATGACGGAGAAACGACGTCAGAGGAAGAGGAGGAGGAGCATTTTAGCATTTTTCCAGCACCTGTAAACCTCACACCACACAACCTCATACAAGAGAAACACAGGACAGTAAGACAGAGTTACCCTCTCAGTCTATAACACTCACATACCACAGATACGGCCCTTCTGGACAGACGGCCTGTGACAGGCTGATTGGTGCTGGATTTGTGTTAAAAATGGTTCATCTATGGAGTCCATGAATTGTAATGCTTTCATTTTTATTGCATAAAAAATCCAATACAACTGATGGCTCATACATTTAATCAAGACAGACATATACAAGTAAAATTATATATGACATAAATTTGACATGCCTAATTAAAATGAAACGACATTTTAGCTAATAAACACAATCTAATATCTGAAATCCAGTCACACGGAAGGGGGGCTATATCTAGTGAATGTTTAATCTCTAATTGCCTTGCTTTGACTTCAGGGTGAGTTTGTCAAGCTGTCTTGCTCCCGCTATGGGAGTCGTGTCCTGGAGGCTGTCTGGAACAGCGCCACCGTGAGTCAGAGGCAGGACATTGCAAAGGAGCTGGGTAAGACAGTAAATCCTCCCCACGGGACATTGGGGGAGTGGTCCAGGCTCTGTTTATTGTAAGCAGTAATTAGCCTGATTTAGCATGGAGATTAAAACTTCGTAATTATCTGTTCATCTGAAGCAAGGATTTATCACACGTCTGTCGATGGCAGCAGTCTTGTTTGATGTTTTGACGGAAATCCAAAAAAGCGGTTAAAACCCTTCCGTGCCGCACTGGTCATACAACAAACGCCTCCATGTCTCCCTTTCAGGGTCCAGTGAGTCTCTGCTGAGATCAGATCAGTTTGCCCGTCATGTTTGGGCAAAATTCGCCCTGACTCACTTTGTGAAGAGGAGAGCTCAATGGCAGGAGATACAGACTGATCAAATGAAGAAGAGAAAAATGTTCAGTGACATCCTTCAGTGACAATTTGGATGACGTTTGGGATTGGCCAGTGTTTACAAAATACTCATGTCAGTTCCTGTGTTCTTTTTTTTTAATTATTAAACCAATGGAAATGTATATGCTGTCTTATTTGTGTACAAGCAAGGCCCAATTAGATTTAAGAGCAGAGCGAATGAACCAATTTCGCAGGGTATTGCCTGAGGATCACTCTGTAAGCTGGGAGATTTGGAGCAGGGAATAGGGTTTTACAAACTGGTCCAATTATAAGCCAAGCAATTCCATGACAAGGTAAGATTCGTTCTTCTTAAGGGCGTCAAAAAAAAGCTCTTTCAGCCTATCAGTGTTTAACACCTCATACAGCTTCCTCATCCTCTCCTGGCTGGTACTGCCAACACGTATGTTATTGTACTTTTCCCCTCCAATGTGTTCATAGAGGTCGTCCAGTATGGGGTCAATCAGTGTCACTCTCTGGACGATGGCTTTCCTGTGTTGGTCTACAAACGCCACACCTGGCGTAGGATGAGCTGGAAAAAAAAAAAATCATTGATAAAATAGTTAATAGGCCAATGATGGATTGAGACAAGTTGTAATTTGGCAGTGCCACTGTGAATTTCAAAACCAGATCAAATTGCTGGTAAATATGGCATGATTGTCTTGTAACTGGCATTGAAGGTCAAGTGAATCATTTTGTTAGAAATAGTTTTATTAGTGATGATTATAATGTGTTATGAAAAGGCCTGCGAAGGCCTACTATTGAGGAGCTGTTAAGTGAGATTAAACATTTTCTGTATATTATATGACTTTCGGGATAGCAAAATCCTTTTTAGACCACATTAAAATGTATTGGGACATCGTGGGAATGTTGTTACAGCAACAGAAAAGGTAATGTAATCTAAAATTTTCACAGACATCCCACCTCAGGGATACTGATTTCAGGGAGGCAGATGAGGGGCATCCGGGAGGGTGGGGGTGCTGGTCCGTGCATTTGAGACCAGTTGGTGTTACAGTAATACTGTATGTATATTACTGATCAGAGATCCAGAATGGTGGTAAATTTGGGGCGAGATTGCAACAGTAAATCGTCTTGCTGGCTGATTGTAAATTGCTGATCTAACTACAGAACAGCAGAATGACAGATTTCCCGGACATTTCCCATGATTTGTTGGTGTCAGGGAGCTGCTGTCAATTTGCCGGAGACTCCCGGATCTTCTGTGAGAGGCGGGATGCCTGTTTTATTTCTAAATCACATTTAATTAAACAACTTTTCCAAAGTGCTGTGCAAAATTAGCACTAACAAAACAAAAATAAGACAACCCCATTAATTGTCACAATATAATACGACCAACAAGTACTAAAACAATAAAATAATAGCTGTCAAGAGTCAGAACTAAAAGCCAGTCTATAAAGACTGACAGGGAGGACCTAATCTCCGGTGAAAGCCTTTTCCAGAAAAAGCACCTTTTCACTAACGCCGGGCTCGTGGCACAGAAAGTAAAAGTGTGCCGGATGACCTCAGCTGTTTTGGCAAGGAAATCAGTAACATAGGAGGGACATAGACCGTTCAAAGCCAATCAGCAAAACTGAACTGGATCCTATGCTGCACTGGGAGCCAGTGCAGTGAGCCCAGTGTAGGTGTTATGTGATCTCATTTTTTGTCTTAGTCAGTAGTCTAGCTGCAGTGTTCTGAATTAGTTGTAGCTGAGAAAGTGATGACTTACTAATTCCCGAATACAGAGAGTTGTAATACTGTAAGTGGGTCGAAATCAGGGAATTAATTATATTGTCGAGATCTGGAGGTGATAAAAATTTAACTTGAAATAGAAATATTTCTAAGATGATAAAAAGCCAATATAACTACAGAATTAATTTGCTGATCAAATTTAAATCACAGTTAATGATTGCTCCCAAATTTAGTGCGCAATCTTTCACAAAAGTGGACCCAGATACTCAGAGACAGGAATAGTGCGATTTTATGATCTGACATTTGGTCCCCACAATGTAATATATTCACAATCCACACACACACTTTTTCAGTACAGTGAGCCCCCGTTATATCGCGGTTCAGCTATCGCGCTCCCACTATATCGCGGATTTTTCCCCGACGCATCACAGTTCTCTGTGATGTGTGTGTGTGTGTGTGTCTCTCTCTCTCTCTCTCTCTCTATATATATATATATATATATATATATATATATATATCACATATTATTATTGTTACTCATATCCTTAGCTCAACATCCACATATCATATTTTATAAAGTTTTAATAAGTTTACATGTGTTTAAAGCGTGTTGGAGTGGTATTTTAAGGCTTAAACTATAAAAAAAAAAATTATTATATAGTCTTTCTATATTGTGAATTTTCACCTATTGCTGATGGGTCTGGAATGTAGCTTCTATGACAGGCGGGGGATCACTGTATTTATGAATCGAAACTTTCAATTTCACATCATACATATTTTACTGAAACACCACATTCATGTGCAGAATAACATAAAGCTCTTACTCCGCTCTGGTATGTCACCCCGCTCACTTCCGGCTTGGTTACCTGCAATAAGAAAGAATTTCAAATTCATTTCTATCTTCAGTGTCTAACAAATTGTTCATCATTTCCCATATAATGCAATATGATATGTTAACTTTTCAAGAGCTTAAAAAGGTTACAATTTATATGATAAACAAGAAAGGCTAAAAATATGCTTACGCTTCTTCAGGACTTCATTCAGTTTCTGAAAAAGGTTATTCAAGCTCATCTTCTTCAGCATTTCAAGCATGACATTGAGAGCATCGGCTTCACCGTAGGAAGTTATCATCTTGTCAGCGATGCCCATTCTGTCCAATGTCTCCAGCTGACCCCTGGGAATGCACTGATACTTTTCATTCACCAGGTGAATCAGGTTATATTTTAACTTCTTCAGCTCTTCTTCAGTGAGCTCCTCCAGATAACCCAGCAAGAGGTCGGCGGGCGTGGTCTGGGCCTGCAGAATTTCGGAGATGAGTCCATGAGACTCACAGACCCGTACATGGTCACTCCCACACATGCACTGACCTTTCCGTTAACAGAAGGCAGGTTTCCTGCTCACGGTCTTATATGTCTGCAGGAGGCACCTGCTGTGATTCTTTCATTACTATAAGAAGCACACGTGTGTGTTTATATCCTAATGATGTTTAAAGTCTCTTTAAAAACAGAGACCCATCCAATATAAATATAATAATATAAATAAATAAATAAAAATAGTTTAAGACCCAATAGAGCACATTAATGCAATAGGGTCAAACACAAAATAGACTAAAAACATCATGTTAAGACACCATCCAGTATAATTATACATATTTTAGATTAATTTATTGTGTTACATTACGTCTGTAACATTTGTTGCAGTGCGGTATCGTAAGGAAGTAGCGTGAAGAAGAGCACTGCGGAGAGTGA